TACAGATAAGTAGCTTAATTCTAAATGGTAGGAATCCACTTAAAAGCTAACCCCCACTGAGAACAACTTAAAATCATGAAGTACTCATGGAGGCTTCTTTGAAATGCACACTAGTTTGAATATTGATGCCTGCAAAAGCAGACAACTCCATTTTAAGAAGTATTACCCAGAGAAATAACAACCTTGTGTCAATGCATCTTAAGGACTAAGTCGATTTATTAAACAGATCTATATTTTGCCAGATTTATTTATTTTTACTTGGAGTTGGCTTGATGATTGTATATCTATTTTGTATTTCAGTCTGGTTTCAAGCCTGGTTATGGGACAGAGGTAGCTTTGGTCACCTTGGTGGATGACCAATGCAAAGAATTGGTCAAGGAGAGTATGATCCTGCTGGACTTGTCAATGGCTTCTGATACTATCAAACATGGTATCCTTCTGACCTGACTTTCTGGGATGGGGCTTTGAGGTACAGTCCTTCAGTGGCTCCATTCCTGGAGGGACACTTTCAGAAGGTGGTGCCGGGGGACTTCTGTTTGACTCCTTGGCCTCTGGCCTGTGTGGTCCCTCAGGGTTCAGTTCTGCCCCCCCAAGCTATTTAACATCTACATGAAACCATTGGGAGAGGTCACTATGCCATCTATATGCAAATGACACTCAACTCTACAACACATTTCCAGCCAAGTTCAAGGAAGCCAAGTTCAAGGAAGCTCCTAAACCAGTGCCTGTCATCAGTAATGGACTGGATGCAGGCAAACAAATTGAATCAAGATCATGATAAGAAAGAGGTCCTCAAACTTTTTAAACAGAGGGCCAGGTCACAGTCCCTCAAATTGCTGGAGGGCCGGATTATAATTTGAAGGGGAAAAATAGAATGAATTCCTACGCACACTGAACATATCTTATTTGTAGTGCAAAAAACGGAGCCCCCAGTGGCGCAGTGGGATAAACTCCTGTGCCGGCAGGACTGAAGACCGACAGGTCGCAGGTTCAAATCCGGGGAGAGGAGGATGATCTCCCTCTATCAGCTCCAGCTTTTCATGCGGAGACACGAGAGAAGCCTCCCAGAAGGATGATAAAAACATCAAATCATCCGGGCGTCCCCTGGGCAACGTCCTTGCAGATGGCCAATTCTCTCACACCAGAAGCGACTTGCAGTTTCTCAAGTCGCTCCTGACACAACCAAAAAAAAAGGTGCAAAAAACACTTAAAAACAATACAATAATTAAAATGAAGAACAATTTTAACAAATATATGGATATTTAGCTTTAAAATGTAATCTTAATTGTATTTTTATTGTATTTTCACTTTTGCATCCATGACACAAATATTTAATTGTTGTTTTTTTTCAATTTATGTAGTCATATATATTTGCCTTGTTTTTAAATTCTATTGTTTTGTGTCATGTTATTTTTAGTTACCTTGAGTCCCTATGGAGAGAAAAGCGGGATAAAAATTGAGCAATTAATTAATTAATTAATTAAATGCTTGGTTCAATAAGGGGGGATAATATAGAATATTTTATTTGATATTACTGTAAATTTGTCAACAACCACATTCTAAATATCAACCAAGTGCTGTGCTGCTGTATGCCGTCAACTATTACTATTTTGAAACCTGGCAATCATAAAAGTGTTGTGATTTTAGAATTATATATTGGGCAAAGCCATACTTTTGTCGTTTAGGGCCAAGAAAATGATATCCTAATACAATATTATAACTCAAAATAAATATTTTTTTCCATTTATTCCTGAACCACTTTCAGGTAAATACTGGAACAGTGGCTTTCCTTTTCAGTATCCATAATCATATCATTGAGTGACTCTGTTATTGTCTACAGGCCAACAATTGCTGATTTGTGGATTAGAGAGCTCTAACACCTTGTTTGTTAAGTCTGCTACATCATTAAATGTATTAGAAAACTGCAGCAATGTAGTGTTTGTTGGCGTGATTGTATCTCAGTCCTTTCAAAATTGCGTATTTTCAAAATGTTCTGGATCTGTCACTGTGATAACCAGAACTAAGATAGAGTACTTCTAGACAGAAGGCTCCTAACACTACCGATGATCAAGAAATCTTGTACATCTATAATCTTCCCCCTTTTATTTTTTATAGCCATGAAAATCATGGACGAATTACAAATGAACAATAACATCATATTGACCTTTATAAAATTTTTGGTTTGAGGCAGGCCAGAATTTAGATGTGGGATTTTATTAGGGTGAAGGTGGTATCTTCCATTTGTAATTTGCCCAGTTCTTTCCTCCATATCTTTTATGACAAAGATAAAATCCACCAATGAAGAAAAGATGGAATTGATGCACAATAACTTTTGATTCATAGCAATAAGATGAAAATGCCAAAATGGACAAAGAGTGTTGCCAAATTGAACTAGCTGTTCTCTATATTCCTCTTCTTCTGGCTGGTTTATACATAGTTTCCTATCAGCTATAAGTCTCTGTATAGGAATTCCTAAACACTGTCAGACTACTCCATCAGGTTTAGAACTGTGAGTAAATCCTTCCCAGTTCTAACCACCCACAAATGTGGTTAGTTTGCATTCCTATTTATTAACCCAGGCAATGGAATGGAGCTTGCTTTTTAAACATTGGTTGGTTGAGGAATAGGAAGGTGGTGTCCACCCTTTTGTTATGAGGACATAATATTAATTATTGAAGTCAGGAAATTCGGACAGAGTTGGAAACTTCATAAACTCCCTTTTCCTGTTCTTTTGCTTCAATAGCATGTGGTTGTAGCAATTGTGGTAAGGAGAAACTGCCCGCTGGCTCTGGAAGGTCAGTTTTTAACACTAATCTTGTAGTTATAAGAGCTAGTGTTGTGTACTTGAGTATTCAATGAGTACACGGGGGAAGCAAGGGTTCAAACCTCTGCCCAGCTATGGAAACGTACTAGATCAGCATTTCTCAACCTGGGGTTCGGGACCCTGGGGGGGGGGAGTGTCGTGAGGGGGTTTCAGAGGGGTCACCAAAGACCATCAGAAAACATAGATTTCTAATGGTCTTAGGAACCCCTTTGGCAGAGAAGGCTGGAGTTCTCTCCACCTGTCCTTCTCTTCCTTTTTGGATGAATTCTTCCACCAAAAGCCCTCCTCCACTGTGATTGGCTGGCCTCTCAGCCAGCTTCTCCACCAAGGGGAGGGCTGTTTTTGAGACTCTAAGAGGGTAGGGATGCTTGGCACATGAACTACAACTCCAAAACTCAAGGTAAATGCCCATCCAACCCTCCCAGTATTTTCTGTTGGTCATGGGAGTTCTGTGTGCCAATTCCATTGTTGGTGGAGTTCAGGATGCTCTTTGATTATAGGTGAACTATAAATCCCAGCAACTACAACTCCCAAATGACAAAAGCAGGGAGACAGCGACAATCCCCGGTTCCTTGCAGATGGGGAGATGTCCTTTGTGTTGGGTGATTCAGTATGTCCATAGACTCCATTTTCCTGAGTGGCATGGCCATCCGGGCCCTCTGAGGTCCAGAAAAATTGAGCCATTTACTTATTGTCCATGCAAATGGTCCTGGTTAAGTCCCTTGTTTGTGGATTATTGGCTCAAGAAGATTGGAAACTCCAAGAGCCATGCGTAGCTGGTTCATGAAAAGGTCGCTTTGCTTCAAATTATCTTATATAGACAGACATACATATAGGGAATGAGGAATGGGGAAAGGCGGAAACATGCGGGGTCTAAGGGGAAGTCAGGTTAGCCCCCCAAAGTCCACAAAAGTTCTTAAAAGTTTGGTAAAAGTTCATAAAAAGTTCCTACAAAGTTTATGGAAGTTCATAAGAATTCATAATAGTTCATGGGTTGTATGGAAGTTCATGGAAGCACTGAGTAGCCAGAGTCCATTCATAAAAGGAGTTCATTAATAGATCCAATTCATGAAGGGCCATATTGGCCTGCCGGGGGTCCCAAGGGGTGGCCACGAGGGATTTTCTGGGGCCAGCAGGCTTCCAGGTCGGGGGCAATGTCCATGAAGTGAAAACATGACCGTTGCAGCTGTGTGGGGCCATGGAAGGAAGCTTTCTGGTCCCCACATAGGGTTCCACATGAAGAGGTGGATTTCTGGGATGCAGGGGTCCATTCAGCAGAAAGTGAGATAGCAGTTAGTCTTAGAATTGGCCCAGGAAAAGGATGGCACCGGTTTGGAATCAATTGGTTGACCCACGGATACGGGGACCTGGTGCTGTTCCGTATCCGCAGTTCAAAGGAGCGCAGTTTCGGCCTCCCTAGGACGCTGCAGGAGTGTCTGGGTGAGCCAGCTTCCGCGGCTTGGAAAGAGGAAGGTTCATATTAATTGGTGTTAAAGTCAGTAAGGGGACACAATGTATCACTGCAGAGTGAGAAAAGTCAGAGAAAATGATACTTTTTATTAGGGGATTGTTACATTGTTCTGCCAACCTAGCAGTTCGAAAACATGCAAATGTTTGTAGATCAATAGGTACTGCTCCGGCGGGAAGGTAACAGCGCTCCATGCGGTCATGCCGGCCACATGACCTTGGAGGTGTCTATGGGCAACGCTGGATCTTCGGCTTAGAAATGGAGATGAGCACCACACCCCAGAGTCAGACATGACTGGACTTAATGTCAGGGGACAACCTTTACCTTTACCTGTTACGTTGAAGTCACAGTCCCTTTTGTCATCTTGAAAATCCATGCTTCCGGGAACTGCGGAACTCTCTGCTGTATTCAGATCAACTTGAAGGCGGGGGCCTGTGGGTTCGTCCTCAAGATAATGTGGGCTTTCCTGCCTTGATATTCTGGGATTGAGGGCTGTTTGGAAGGGCCTTGAGGGACTGTGAGTAGGCCCTCTGCTTAAAAAATTTGAGGGCCCCTAACCTAGAGATTCCTCGCGAGAAAGTTTCTAACCAGACCTAGGAATAACCAAACACAAATGTGGAAGGCTGAGTGTGTGCTCCCCAGAAAAGGAGCGTGCCCATAAGGATGAATGGAGGCGCCCAGGAAGCTCCAGCTCCAGCTCCTCCTCCTCCTCCAACTGTTGAGGCCAAAGACTTGGAAAGGAGGCTGACTTGTTACACAAGCTCTTCCTTGAGGCGCCCCCCCTCTCCTTTTGTGAGGCACACGGGCACCAAAAGCCTGCCTTTTGATGTTGTTTTGAGCCCTTTTTGTTGAAGATTGAGGAGAGAGAGAGAGAGAAAGAGAGAGAAGCAGCTCTCTCCGAGCCCTGAATCCTCCCCTCCCTCTTTCCCTTTGGGCGAAGGATTACGGCTGCTCTAATCTGGCGGCGGCGAAGGGAGGGATTTACCTGCTGCTGCTGCTTCTGCTGCTGTTGCTTCTTCTCCTTGGGCTTCTCGATCTCCATTCCCCCCGGAGACTCTTTCCCTCTCATCGGAGCCTCGGAAGGGGAAACTTTCCACTCCCCCGGAGAATATTATCACTACTACTCCTCTCTCTTCTCAGAGCCACGCCGCCGGAGGAACATCCCCCCCTTTGAGAGACCACAGGTATCCTCTTGCTTTCCTTTAATAGCCTTGTCTTCGCGGCCACTGGGAGGTTTCTATATTTTTCCTGCGTGGAGAAGGGTTTGGGCTCCCTCGACACGCGTCTTGATATGAATGGTGGCAGTGGGGTTCTCCTTCACGAAGCCCTCTCTTGATTCCTCGCTTTCAACAAAGTTTTATGAGCCTCTTCAAAAAAGGGAGAAAGGCAGCCAGCTCTTTCTTCCCAAGCAACCAATGATGTGATCCTGGGTTGTTGTTGTGAGTTTTCCGGGCTGTATGGCCATGTCCCGGAAGCATTCTCTCCTGACGTTTCGCCTGCATCTATGACAGGCACCCTCAGAGATTGTGAGGTCTGTTGGAAACTAGGAAAATGGGGTTTATATATCTGTGGAATGCCCAAAGTGAGAGAAAGAACTCTTGTCTGCTTGAGATAGGTGCGAATGTTTCAATTGGTCACCTTGATTAGCATTGAATGGCCTTGCAGCTTCAAAGCCTGGCTGGGTGCTGCCTGAGGGGAATCCTTTGTTAGGAAACTAGGCAAGTGATGTTTATATATCTGTGAAATGTGCAGGGTGGGAGAAAGAACTCTTGTCTGCTTCAGGTAGGTGTGAATGTTGCAATTGGTCACCTTGATTAGCATTGAATAGCCTCGCAACTTCAAAGTTTGGCTGCTTCCTGTCTGGGGGAATTGTTTGGAGGTGTTAGCTGGCTCTGATTGTTTCTTGTCTGGAATCCCCCCGTTTTTGAGTGATGCTTTTTATTTACTGTCCTGATTTTAGAGTTTTTAAGCACTGGTAGCCAGATTTTGTTCATTTTCATGGTTTCTTCCTTTCTGTTGAAGTTGTCCACATGCTTGTGGATTCGATTGGGCTGTTAGGAATTGTGGGAATTGAAGTCCAAGACACATAGAAGGCCGAAATTTGCCCTTGCCTGGTCCAGACTGTTGAATTAACACAGTTTGGCTGCACTTTAAAGACTTCATCACACTAGAGAATGAATCCACTTTAAATCTGGTTGCTGCCTCCTGTGGAATTTGTAGTTTAGGGAGGAGCCTTTAATAGTCTCACTAAACTACAAACCTCAGAGTTCTGCATGAGGCAGAAACCGGATTGAAAGTGGATTCATTCTCTAGTGTGATGAAGTAGTAATAACTCAATGTTGTGGCATCCTGGAGGTTGCAATTTGGGGAGGCACTTCCTCACTTCCTAAGCAATGATTCTGTAGCAAATTGCATTCATGTATCCATAAGTTTTTCTTTTCTTTTCCATGCAACAGAGAAGTAGGGTGTGCTAGTAGTTAGCCAAGCTTTTCATCCCTGCCTCTGGGGGAGAAAAAAAGGCTTGAGAGACTTGCAAAGCCTTACAGCTCCTCCTCCTCCTTCTCTGTCTCAAAAGCCCCCTCAGTTTCCACGTGGCTGGAAGTCTTTTCTCAAACAACATGGCATGTGTGGCTTAGCTGGGAAAGGCTGGAATCCAGCATCCCTGAATTGCAGGGTTGGAAGAGGCCACAAAGGCCACCCAGCCCAACTTCTTGCCATGCAGCCTGAAACATTCAGAGCTAGGGCTCTAGGAGTGGAAACTTAAGAGGTAGGTTTTGACATTGTACATGTTATTTCAACTTAGAAATAGATCTTTAAATTATATAGTTTGTTAAGGCTGTGAGCACTCTTTCTCTCCCTTTCCCCCTTTGATTACACTATGGGCCCTTCCACACAGCCCTCTATCACAGAATATCAAGGCAGAAAATCCCACATTTTCTGAATGTGGACTCAGATAACTCAGTTCAAAGCAGATATTGTGGGATTTTCTGCCTTGATATTCTGGGATATAGGGCTGTATGGAAGGGCCTCCAGACAGACCCTATGTCCCAGCATCTTATCCCAGGCTTTCTATTTTAAACTGGACGAGTCCGCGCTGCCAAATAATCTGTAATAAACAGAAAACCTGGCATCAGATCTTGGGATATAGGACCTGTCTGGAAGGGCTCTATGTAACACATTTTTGTTCCTGGCTTATAAATGTCATTTCCTAATTGGTTCAATCAGGCATGTAGCTGGGGGGGGTTGGGGGGCTTCAGCCCCCCCCCCCCAAATTCTCATGGTGGTTCTCGAAAAGGCCTTACTGGTGCATTATTTAAACTGTTATGTTTATTCATATCATGATCTGATCACCATACTCAATATATCCTATATGCATGGGGGTATTGGGGTAATGATACAAAAGGTTTGCTAGGGTAGACCCTCTTTCACTCAGACTCAGCCCCCCCGAAACTCAGCCCCCCCGAAACCCCCCTGAAAAAAATTCAGCCCCCCCCCCCGAAACGAAATCCTGCTACGGGCCTGGGTTCAATCATAAACACATGGAAGAAGTTTCTTAAACTGTAATAATCTTTGCGGGATGTCCTGCTGTACATTTTGCTAAAGTTTTTTTTAATGACTATCTCATAGAGCTTCAACCAATTCAACATAGTTTGTGTTAGCCACAAAAAAAAAACAAGCTTCTGGAGTATAACAACTACTTTTAGAGTAAGTACCACATAATTAAACAGGAAATAATAATCATCATCACCATCTTTATTTCTATCCCGCCCCATCTCCCCGAAAGGACTTGGGACAGCACACAACATGAGTAAAACACAATAAACAATATATACAAACTAAATAACAAGATAATAAAGGAAAACAAATAAAATGGAAAAATAAATTAATAAAAAGTAAAAACAATAGTTTAAAACACATTTAAAACACAGTAGTTCCAATAGATTAAATAAGCTAAGTAAAAGCCAAAGCGCCCGAGTGTATCCATAAAAACAAAGACCTCATCCACATTAATGGGATATTAACACTTTCAAACCAGAAACAAAAAGAAAATTCAAATTTTGTTAGTGTTATTAACAGGCAACAAAACTGAAAATCATCAAAACTTTAAAAAAATGTATCTTGGTTTTATTTATAGGAACTTAATAATAATAATAATAATAATAATAATAATAATAGTAATAGTAACAAACTTTATTTATACCCTGTCACCATCTCCCCAAAGGGTACTTGGGGCAGCTAACTTGAGTTTTCTAAATAAACTTGGAGTTCTAAATAAAAAATGACCTCAGATATTGCTTCATCTCTTACAGTTTCCCCTCAACTTTGCTCTGATATTTTTTTCTTTTGTAATATGTCATTGAATGAGATTTATTTGTGGAGTTAAAAGTATGAAAAGCATTAAAGCAGACATGGGCAAACTTTCTAATTTGGGGGCAGCATGCTAGCACTTCCTGCTAGGAGGACTGGCTGCCTGGTGATGGAAGGAAAGAAGGGAAGGAGGAAGGAAAGAGAGAAGGAAAGAAGGATGAAAGGGAGGAAGGGAGGAAGGAAGGAGAAAGAGGGAAGGATGGAGGAAAGAGGGAAGGATGAAACAGTTGAAGGGAAGGAAGAAAAGGAAGGAGGAAGGAAAAAGCAAAGGAAGGAAGGAAGGAAGGGATGAAGAGAAGGATAGAAGAAAGGAAGGAAGGGAAGGATAAAGGAAAGAGAGAAGGAAAGAAAGAAAAGAGTAGGAAGGAAGGAGAGAGGGAAGAAAGAGGGACAGAACAAAAGAGTGGAAGTTAAGGATGAAAGGAGAAAGAGGGAGGGGAGGGAGGGAAGGAAGGAAAGACAAAAGGGAGGAAAGGACAAAAAGGTGGAAGGGAAGGATGGAAGGAAGAAGAAGGAAGGAAAATACAAAGGAAAGAATAGAAGGAAGAAAGAGAAGGGATGGAAGGAGAAAGAGGAGGAAGGGAGGGAGTAAGGGGGAAGGAAATAGAAGGAAGGAAAGAAAAGGGGGAGGGAAGGATGAAAGGGTGGAAGTTAAGGGTGAAAGGAAGGAAGTGAAGGAGGAAGGAAAGAGAAAAGGAAGGGATGAAAGTGTGGAAGGGAAGGAGAATGATGGAGGAAGGAAAGAGAGAAGGAAGGATAGGATGGTGAGAGTGAGGAGGGCCTGAAAAAAGAGCCCAAGGGGCTGCACCCGCCCCCGGTTTGCCCATACCTGGATTAAAGTCTTCTAATAGATTTTGGATGCATCTACACTAGACTTAATTGCAGTTTGATATCTCTTTAACTGCAACGGCTCCATGCTATGCAATTCTGGCAGCTATAGTTTCATAAAGTCTTTAGCCTTCTCTATCCAAGAATCCTAGTGCCTCACCAAACTACAAATCCCATAATTCCACTGCATGGAGCTGTAGCAGTTAATGTGGTGTCAAACTGCATTCATTCTACGGCATACATGCAACATTATGCACTTTAATATAGCGGTATGAAACACAAAAATGCATCAAGAATCACTAAAAGAAATTGCACAGAAACATCAGTGACTGTCCAGAATCAAAACAGAGTTAACAATTGAATTGATTTTTAAAAAACGCCACATATGTGAACGGACTGTGTGTGTTTCAACCTTTTTATTGTGTTTTTCCAATTTCAGCACCTCAGCATGCTTTAGAAACAGCTACTGTATTGAACAATAATTTTTTAATCACAGGCTTATGTTACCAGCTTGCTTGGGCTTGTAGTGCCATGCGCCTCATAATTTCCACACGCAAAAGGAAAGGGATTTGGATGTTTGTGAGAACTTGAGCAATAGATGAGTCAAAGCAACATCTTCCTGGTGTGGTTTCTCCCTCCCTCCTTCCTCCTTCCTATCTGTCAGGCCCAAACAAAACCGGTCTCCCTGCCAAGGTAGCAAACTTAATCCGCTCTGGGTTGGCGATAGAAGATGATGCTGTGGGCGGGGAAGGGACTTGCTTAGCTACGGAAGCAACAGCGCTGTGTTAAGGCTAACTTGGTTTGTTTACTTCACTGCTGATAATTACTGTTCTGGTGTCAGATCGATTGAATCGACCCTCCCATTGCCCTAAGAAAAGGGTTAGGCTTTACCACTCTTCCCCTAGGAGGTTAGGTGGCCTGCACTAATAGAAATTGGCCAGCTGACAAAATTATATAGGTCACTGGGAAATAATTCCAGCTTAATCGC